GGGCTGTCTAAACGCAGCCATTGATACTTCTGGGTGTATGCTATCCTATCGGTTACTCCAGCATCTGATAACACACAATTAGCTAAACGAATGTGTATGTTTATGGTCAACCAAAAGTCACTATTATACATGTTATTGAAATGTTATTTCCATGATTTCTTCTTACAGCCCATGTGCTCTAAAATAATACTCTTGTTGTAAACGAGAACACTTTTGCAGTTTGTTTTATAAAGAAAAATAGCGAAGAGGCAACCTTAAAAGGATTTTAGTCAGTGTAATCTGAGCCATAATAAATCAGTGAAGTTCAAGGAGGTGGAGTTTCTACCGATCCTTTTTCTTTTAATCCCTCTATTTTAATGAAACATCTGGTCTTTGTTAGTTACAGCAGGGGGTGGGTCCAGGCCTGGGATGGGATCAGAAGGTTAGAGGGGTTAGGCTGTAGACTGTTTCTTCTTAACAAAGTGGGACAGAATGGGGGATTATTGGTGGGATTATTTCTAAACTCTGACCTTTCAGTGACTGACTATTTCCTTCCTAATAAGAGACAATTATTTCATCAGTGCCTCATCATTATTTGGGTCATAGTTCAGATACAGTGGAGAAAAAAAGTATTTAGTCAGCCACCAATTGTGCAAGTTCTCCCACTTAAAAAGATGAGAGAGGCCTGTAATTTTCATCATAGGTACACGTCAACTATGACAGACAAATTGAGAGAAAAAAATCCAGAAAATCACATTGTAGGATTTTTTATGAATTTATTTGCAAATTATGGTGGAAAATAAGTATTTGGTCACCTACAAACAAGCAAGATTTCTGGCTCTCACAGACCTGTAACTTCTTCTTTAAGAGGCTCCTCTGTCCTCCACTCGTTACCTGTATTAATGGCACCTGTTTGAACTTGTTATCAGTATAAAAGACACCTGTCCACAACCTCAAACAGTCACACTCCAAACTCCACTATGGCCAAGACCAAAGAGCTGTCAAAGGACACCAGAAACAAAATGGTAGACCTGCACCAGGCTGGGAAGACTGAATCTGCAATAGGTAAGCAGCTTGGTTTGAAGAAATCAACTGTGGGAGCAATTATTAGGAAATGGAAGACATATAAGACCACTGATAATCTCCCTCGATCTGGGGCTCCATGCAAGATCTCATTCCGTGGGGTCAAAATGATCACAAGAACGGTGAGCAAAAATCCCAGAACCACACGGGGGGACCTAGTGAATGACCTGCAGAGAGCTGGGACCAAAGTAACAAAGCCTACCATCAGTAACACACTACGCCGCCAGGGACTCAAATTCTGCAGTGCAAGACGTGTCCCCCTGCTTAAGCCAGTACATGTCCAGGCCTGTCTGAAGTTTGCTAGAGTGCATTTGGATGATCCAGAAGAGGATTGGGAGAATGTCATATGGTCAGATGAAACCAAAATAGAACTTTTTGGTAAAAACTCAACTCGTCGTGTTTGGAGGACAAAGAATGCTGAGTTGCATCCAAAGAACACCATACCTACTGTGAAGCATGGGGGTGGAAACATCATGCTTTGGGGCTGTTTTTCTGCAAAGGGACCAGGACGACTGATCCGTGTAAAGGAAAGAATGAATGGGGCCATGTATCGTGAGATTTTGAGTGAAAACCTCCTTCCATCAGCAAGGGCATTGAAGATGAAACGTGGCTGGGTCTTTCAGCATGACAATGATCCCAAACACACCGCCCGGGCAACGAAGGAGTGGCTTCGTAAGAAGCATTTCAAGGTCCTGGAGTGGCCTAGCCAGTCTCCAGATCTCAACCCCATAGAAAATCTTTGGAGGGAGTTGAAAGTCCGTGTTGCCCAGCGACAGCCCCAAAACATCACTGCTCTAGAGGAGATCTGCATGGAGGAATGGGCCAAAATACCAGCAACAGTGTGTGAAAACCTTGTGAAGACTTACAGAAAACGTTTGACCTGTGTCATTGCCAACAAAGGGTATACAACAAAGTATTGAGAAACTTTTGTTATTGACCAAATACTTATTTTCCACCATAATTTGCAAATAAATTCATTAAAAATCCTACAATGTGATTTTCTGGAAAAAAAATTCTCATTTTGTCTGTCATAGTTGACGTGTACCTATGATGAAAATTACAGGCCTCTCTCATCTTTTTAAGTGGGAGAACTTGCACAATTGGTGGCTGACTAAATACTTTTTTCCCCCACTGTATAAATAGACTGTATGTGTACACATTGCATATAGCCTACATAGTATCATTTTGTTTGGTTGATCATAAACTATATCCTGTTTCTCCTTTCAACATATTCACTTGCAGAGTTGGGTTGAAATGTTACCTGATTACCAATACAAAAAGAGGCTATTTCTCAGAGAAGCCAGAACAGAATACTTTGGCGTCTTGTTCTTTGTGCACATCGTGTTCCCCACACTGGTAGTCTCAGATTCTCTGGCACCCTGAATGATTGTTAATCCTCGTAGTGAGACCCGTCAGTCTACATGCACACAACAACATTCTATATAATCAAAGCTATTGCTTGAAGGTGGAATCTCTTGGATGCGTTAATTTTTGTTTTTTCAAACTTGGTCAGAATGGGGGGGGGGGGATATGTATGCAAGTTAATCATGTGTGACTTTTTATTTTTATTCAACAGAGAAATGTGATCTCAAGCACGTTATTTACAGTGCGTTTGTATTTTTGTTTGACTGCACATTAAGATAGTAATAGGGTTTGTAAGAAAGACAAAGCAGTGAGTTTATGAATGAGTGAACCGTATCTAAACTGAAGAGTATATATAACTTCATGGATGTCACTGGGTTGCTGCACCTTTCACTTTATGCATATTTATCATTCATATTTCTACAGTACATCCATATTATGGATTTTTAAGCACAGAGAATGTTCCTACGACCCCTTACAGCAACACAAACCACTGAGGTAGTTTCTCAGATTTTATTTGTTCTTAGTGCATCATTGCAATCTATGAGAGGCACAGACACTACCCACAGAAGGTCAAGTGTTCCCATTTTCTCATTTCCAAATAGAAGTTCAGTCCTTGACACGTGGGCCTGCCTCAACCCCTCTTCCCCTCACAAAGACCTGGTTGTTCGCCTTGGACAATCATTTTGCCGCGGAATCCAATGGTGTTTAGCCTCAGAAACAACAAGTGCAGAATTGTTCTCCCGCCAGCCAGCAGAAATTATTGGCATCCAGACAGTCGAGCTTGCGGCCTCTCCGTTTGCTTCGAGTATTTTTCAAGACACTTCCAGGAAATGAATTGAACCAGTTCCATGACAGTGAAGACCTCTATCCTTACAAGGGAATGTTTTTGGTCTGCTACAGCACATGCCAGGACAGGAACAGTGACCAGGCAATTCTTTACTTGGTGACTGTTGCTTGTTTATGACCTACTTAGAAGCGGGTCTTTTTGGTCTGGCCCTATTTGATAGCTTTATATTTGGCTTAGTACCCAGGTTAGAGTAGTACTATCTTTTAGACTAATTTGCTTTGACGCTCACTTATCCCTTTCACTTTTTTCCCAATGATTTAAAAATCCAGACACAGAAAACCGCCCAAACACTGACGCAAGAGTGACGCTAATACTCTGAAGTGTTACCCACCCAGTGACATCCTGGCCTTATGGATAGCATATCTAGAAGCATTATGGAAATCATGCTCACTACATTGCTGTTTGCTCATTCATAAAGTCCTACTGTAGGTTTATTACAGGTTTATAGCGGCAACAGGAAATGACTAAACCGACTGTTATGCACACGCCTGAATCTGAGACCAAATCAGCCATAGTTATTGTTGGTGTCTGTTGTGATACCAACGTGGATGGTTGTTGTTTTCTTAACCTTAATGGGTCCTTCTGATTGGATGCCGGCTGCGTTGACATCATGACATGTCTGTCTCCATCCTTTTTTTCCCTCTGTTCTTAAACACTGAGCTCCAACAGATTGAGTCTCATGTTCACTTTCCTATCCTGGACCAATGGACATCTTTCATCATTCTTGTTCCTTGAAGGTTATTCTGCTGGATCGCTCCCTTTTCCATTCTGTTCCTCTGTTTCCTTTCCCTGTCTTTTTCTTTGTCTCTTGTTCCATCTGCATCAAATCATGGATGTACTGAAAAAGACTGCTTCCCCTGATATGTGCCTAACCGATGAGGAGTTGGAGGACGTCTGAATGCCTGTCCTGTGGCCTGCAGTTGGACCATATTTACAAAGAGAACTTTGATCCTGTGTTGCCAGTCTCTTCTACTCACTTTGGCAGGATTGCCATTATTATTCAGCTTTTTTAGACCTAAAGTTTCAAAGGCACTTAACTTCTCTCACACATACATGCATTTTCTAGAAGGTAGACTTGACCATGATTTTGAACCTGCTCAACATCTCTGTACCTGATCATCAAGAATTGACACCGCCTTGCATAACCTTTAATGTGAAGGAAATGTCTTCCTTTGGAAATTTCGTGCCAATTTGAGATGTCACCATCAATCCAAAACTGAAAAGTTCCTCTTTGTGATGGCTTTGAACTGAACTAGTCCATTATCTCCAAGGACGTGCATTTCTTCTGCTCAAACTTTCTGAGATTTGATACCAGGAATCAACCTAAGGAATGCTTTGACATTTTAAACAAAACCATTTCTAGGATGTGGAAATGATTTTGGTCTTGAGATTCACGCATTATTCAAATGTATGTATAACAGTTGTTTATCATCTTCTCTTGCAGTGGACATTTTTTACATTTCATTTTAAAAATATGTACATTTTGGTATTTTATTTCCAAAACGTTTATTTTAATTTAAGGAAAAAAATGATCTAAAAGGATCAGCCGTCATCTCTCCCTCAAAGAGATGATGATGATGATGGTGAAGATGTTAGGCTAGTAGAGGCAGTCAGACGTGTGTGTGTGTGTGTGTGTGTATGTGAGATTAAGTGTGTGTGTGTGTGTGTTATCCCTGGCTATGGCAGGGTGTGGGTTTCTCTAACGCTCTCTTCTCTTATTGCACAGTATGAGGAACGCTAGTGGGCTGTCCGCTGCTGACCTGGCCCATGCCCAGGGGTTTCGCCAGTGTGCCGAGATACTATCCAATGCCCAGAACCTGCAGCGGTACCAGAACCTAACCCAGACCCAGCTTAATGGCTTCGGTCTGAACGGTGCCGCCCAGAACGGAGGCCACTCCCACCCTCTCATCCAAGGGCGGAGCCTCCTTAACGGGGCGCCAAATAGAAAGAGGTCGTTTGATAACATGGAAGACACTCAAATCAAGAAGGCCAGAACTGAAGGTTAGGTTTTTGCATTTGTTAGCATTTTTTATACTTTATAAAAAAATAACCTAATCAAACCTGGGAGGGGATTATAAATGTTTTCCACTTTTTTCATGACCTTCCCTAATTATACGTGGTAAAGCATCAAGTGTCAAAACCTTCTAAAATCCTGTCGTAAAACCAGGATTTTGGGCTCCCAAGTGGCGCAGTGGTCTAAGGCACTGCATCTCAGTGCTTGAGGCGTCACTACAGACCCCCTGGTTCGATTCCAGGCTGTATCACAACCGGCCGTGATTGGGAGTCCCATAGGGCGGCGCACAATTGGCCCAGCGTCGTCCGGGTTTGGCCGGTGTAGGCCGTCATTGTAAATAAGAATTTGTTCTTAACTGACTTGCCTAGTTAAATAAAGGTTAAATAAAATAAATGAATAAAATTAACCTTTGAGTGTTGGCCTATTGGGAATCTGGTTGAATACATTATTGTTCGCTTAGTTGTGCAGCATTACAATGAGCAGTATGAGGAAGAAGGGGATGGGAGGGTGACTTAACCTGTGGCTGCTTGCCAGGCCTCTGATGTTGTTGTGTGTAAATGCATGGCTTGTTTTATTGGACTCTGGAGTAGAGTTGGGAGTGGTTGCCAGGAAGTTGATCGACACTGCAGGGTATCAGGTAATGGGGCAGTAGATGATTTATTGCTGAATGAAGCCTACAATTGGACTTTGGACTCACTGAGTATGATTTATTATTCTAGCATGCTAAATACCAGTCTCCCCTTCTGCCCAGGCAGCCCGTGCATGCTGGAATGGCCTCTTTTGGACTGTAGGGTATTCTGACCTGTATGTCGAGTTGTCATCTAGTCCTATTCTTGATGGTAGTTCAACACGCTCATCCACTGCTCTCACCAGGTCTGTGCCTGCCGCTGGGGATGCTGAACGGGAATGGGTCGGTCTGCGGTGTCGGAGAGGTACTGATGGAGAGCATGCACCAGGAGAGCATGGAGTCAGCACCGTCGGCAGTGAGCTCAGGTGGGCCAGGACCCTTTGCGTTTGGGATGAATGGGTCTGCGCCGGTGCCAGACCTGGTGGACCAGGGGGGAGTGGAGGTGTCCACCCCGGCCCCTAAGGAGCAAGAGATCTTCACTGTGGCATCCATGCAGATCCCTTGTCGCTGCACTAACTCCTACGCCTACCTGTAGAGGCCTTAGAGAGTGTGTTGAGAAAGAGTGTTGACTCTCCTAGTGGTTGTATCTTGGTAGGATGTCCGTCAGGCCCTCTCTGGCCATGTTTTCCCATGGATGGCACTACTCTTTTTTGGCATGGTATTGTTGGGTTTTTGGCATGGTAATGTTAAACTCTTGCGGGAGCGGTTCTAAAAATATGGGTGTAAGTAACTTGTATTGTACACATTGCACATACATGTTATGAAAAACATTGCCTTGCTACCATACTCAATCGCTAGAGAAACACAAGTTTTATGTTTTGTTGTTTTACTGGTAGCTTTGAATGATCCACAAAATTCTTCTTAAATCATCTCAAGTGTTTTTGGCAAAGCCCCTTAGGATGAGTGAATTCTGTTTTGCACAATTATCCTTCCACCGCCCTACATTGCACAATGTTAACTGTAATAACGTTGTCAAATGATAATCTACATTTCTTTAATGTAGAAACGCCAACACCTTGGGAACAATGTACTGATACAAGCCTCACTCAGTTTATGGAGAAGATTAGGGAGAAAGTTGACTTCAAGACTTTGAGGCTGCACTGACGTTTCCCTCTGCATCATGAATATGCAATGACAGAATTCTGACCTTTATGATGATGAGTTAGACGTCCAGTGATGTGTTTACTGAGTACTGTATTTAGTGGTGCCATTGTTGTGATGCCGCTTCGACCAATAATGGTCAAAAGACAGAATGTGTCCATCTCATGTCTGAATGAAGAGACAACTAGAGAATGTTCCTGCCCTTAGAGTAATAAGATAAACATATTTTATGTTTTATTTGTTAACTATAAAGCTTTTTTGTTGTTTTTTATACAAGAACTCTTATGCCAAAGCATATCTTTACATGTATGTATAAATTACATAAAGCTTTGCTATGCAGCTTTTCTATATTATGTGAGCTTTTAGGGATTTCCAAGGTGCTATTTGAACTGACACTGTCCTGTTAGCTAGCAGACTGTAGACTTTGGTTTGGCTAGGCACGTCTAGTGCCCCCTCTCCTTCTGCTTTTCTAGGAGAGGACTTTGTACGCTTTTCTGTATAGCCTAGTACCTATTGTCTGGTGTTGAAAATGGTGTGAGTTTATATTGACTGTTTTTCTAAGTGTCGGCTTGTTTTGTTGAATTATAATGTACTATTGCTTTGCTAACTGCACTAATGACAAAAGTTAGATGTTGAATTGTTGATCTATGATAAATGAGTGTGATTAGTAGTGCTACAATTTTCACGAAGCAAGGGGAAGCTACTCTTTCCTAAGGCTGGAAACCGTTTTTGGAGAAAATAAAAAAGGAACCTTCGTAAATGTATTGGTCACAAACTTAAAATCCCTCCTCATCTGCTTCATACATGAAGGACAATTGTTCTGTCAAACAATCTGCGCTGCACTACTATTCAGTCTGTACAGAATTACAAATGTTAACGAGTAGGATCGCATTTATTAGAGCTTCTGACGCTCAGTGCTGATTAGTTTTGTATACTTTAAACTCATTAAATGTTCATTCCTTTGAATAACATGATGGTGGCTTTGTGTTTTTGTCTCTTGGTTTGTGTGTGTTTTTTTTTGTGTACATGAGAAAGTATCTCGACAATGGTCTGAACACACTGCGGGGTAATCCATTTCATCTTTCAATTGAAGAACCCTGAATAATTGGGAGGTTTGGCGCCCTCTATTGATATTGAGATGGCTGGGCAACCCCTCAATTGTGCTGTCTTGTTTCTAAGGATTATGCCATCATTACAGCAAGAGCGGTGGCAGAATTTTGAGTTCTTGTTTGTCTGTAAATTTGCTTCTAGGACTATATGATTATCGGTGTCGTTGAAACCATCTTGCGTGGTGTCTTATGACGCTGTCGTCTGTGTTGACGTCTAAAAGGGACTTTGGATCATCTCATCGTGCCTGAACCAATGGGAGTGGGGAAGGGGGTGGAACTAGGGCAGTGTGCCAAGGAGGAGCAGTGGTTTGTGTGTCAGTGTAACCAGGAAGAGTACAGTGAATCAGGATGTGACCCGGTGCAATGAGGTACAAGGGTGAACGATAACGAGATAATGTTAGATTTTCTGGAACCCATTTGGCAACCTATCGATTTGTATTCCTGTATAGATGGCGTCACTGAGGTTTACAGTTTCCGAAATGTTCATCTCCATGGGGAATAGTTGTGCAAAACAAAATCAATTCGTACATATTTACTAAATCTCTTTGAGCATGAAGTTGTGGCCCCGTACTGTCAAAACCAGCTTTTGAAATTATTTTGACCAGGTGTCTCATTTCCAATGGCAGGTGACCCTCTAGCAGCAGGGTTAGGGTGTGAGGGGACCCCCTTAAACGGGCACTGCCCCCCAACACACCTGAATGGGTGTGCCTCTACCATCGCCCCTGCCGACATCGCCCACCACCAAGTCTACAGGGATGCAGCAGAGCACATGGTTGCCACTGGTAACGCGGGCAGCCAGGTGGAACACCAGACATCGGTGAAGGCAGAGCAGCACTACGAACATCAGCAGTACGACCATGCCCTGTTCAGCACCATGCTCCTCTATCACGGCTCCTAAGGAGGTGGAAGGATCCCGTTGTCAGGCCGTCCATCGGTTTGCCTGTCATTTATGCTTGATGTAAGCAAGCATTCATACGCCTTAAAACCATGAAGTGAGTGGTTGCTTCTTTATATGGTCATTGTGTTATTTTGTATTTATGTAAAGGGAAGGGCCATCTCTCTTCTAAAGGTGGACTGTTTACTTTTCAGTTTATGGATATGAAATGTTCTGTAAAACAGTCGATTGTTTTCGTGATACCTTTTTGTGATGTGAAAAGTCGATTTTGAGTGGTTAAAGAAAAAGCTACAGTAAAGGCATATACTGCATTATCTTTTTATTTTCAAGTTAATGTTTATACATTTGTTTTTAAACTGTGTGTTCAGTTATCCTCAGGACAAAACTAGCCTGAATGTAAATGAAAGTTTTATGTTATAATGTCAGATGTCTCAAATGAGATGGGTTTTTTCTGAGTAATGAAATGATGCCCCAACCTCTGAAACCCTTGTTTATGTTGTCTTGTCTTATCTATGAGGCAGGTTCTTTTGTTTTGTCATCCTGGTTCATCTGCATCCTGATAAGAATTAAAGGACATCACCTAAAAGCACATCGGGATGTGATTATTTTTCTAATTGTCAGAACATTTAACTTTCTACACTAATGGATGGGGAACAATACAGTATGCTATGACACTGAAATACAGGTATAGGATATTCAACCATTTTTTTTTTTATCTTGAACTACTATCCTGTATCCTTTACGCCTCATATAAAGCTTTAATATTTGAAGATATATTTCCTCCCATAGTTTATTCAATAAGTAAACTGAAATTCCGCTTCCAATTGTACACATGTAATTGGAATTTCAATGTACTTTTTGTATTGAGTGAACTGACCCCTCCCTGGGTGCTCTGAACCCTGTGTTGGATTGCACATTGCATGACCCATTTGTTAAATCATGGTTTTGAGTTTGCGAGTTTTACTCAATGCACCAGTACTTACTGCAACAAGTCCCTGTGTTTGCATAATGAGTGTTATTCAACACCATACGACCACCCAGGCACCTGGCAACTGCACGGGAACACGGCAGACAATGTATTTATGCTCTGTCCCCGTGCATGTGTGTCCTGGCTGACGTGCACAGTGTGATCCTAGGCCTGTGGTTGGGAACAGTGTCCACTGCAAACACAGAAGGACAATGGAACATTGCAACTTGTCTTTATGTACACTTAACAAAAAGATGAACGCAACATGTAAAGTGTTGGTCCCATGTTTCATGAGCTGAAATAAAAGATCCCAGAAATAAGTATGAAAAGCTTATTTCTCTCAGATTTTGTGACCAAATTTGTTTACATCCCTGCTAGTGAGCATTTTCCCTTTGCCAAAATAGTCCTTCCACATGACAGGTGGGGCATATCAAGAAGCTGATTAAACAGTATGATCATTACAATGCCACAGATGTCTCAAGTTTTGAGGGAGTGTGCAAATGGAATGCTGACTGCAGGAATGTCCACCAGAGCTGTTGCCAGAGAATTGAATGTTAATTTCTCTACCATAAGCCACCTCCAACGTTGTAAAGAATTTAGCAGTACATACAACCGGCCTCACAACCGCAGACCACATGTATGGCGTTGTGTGGGCGAGCAGGTTGCTGATGTCAATGTTGTGAACAGAGTGCCCCATGGTGGCGTGGGGTTATGGTATGGGCAGGCATAAGCTACGGACAATGAACACAATTGCATTTTATCTATGGTAATTTGAATGCACAGAGATGCCGTGACGAGATCTTGAGGCCCATTGTCGTGCCATTCATCCGCCACCATCACCTCATGTTTCAGCATGATAATGCAAGGCCCCATGTCACAAGGACCTGTACACAATTCCTGGAAGCTGAAAATGTCACAGTTCTTCCATGGCCTGCATACTCACCAGACATGTCACCCATTGAGCACGTTTGGGTTGCTCTGGATCTACGTGTACGACAGCGTGTTCCAGTTCCCGCCAATATCCAGCAACTTCGCACACCCATTGAAGAGAAGTGGGACAACATTCCACAGGCCACAATCAACAGCCAGACCAACTCGATGCAAAGGGGATGTTTCGCGCTGCATGAGGCAAATGGTGGTCACACTAGATACTGACTGGTTTTCTGATCCACGCCCCTACTTTTTTTTTGTATGATTATCCTGACATGTTCAGAATTTAGAATCACACACCCACCACAGGTGAGAAAGAATACAGGTGAGATTGCATAACACAATGCAACAATATGCAGGCAGCTACAATATGTTGTGCTGAACTGCTACTGAACAGCTGGGGGTATAAAGTTATTTACTCCTTTGCCAAGCACTAACTTGTGCATGACAATCATCGCCAACTATCGGTATACCTCTCCATATACTGCCCACTATTCACGTGTGAGAACACCCATTTGTCACCTGTCGCCAAGGCCCAGCCGACCTTGATCGCTGTACATTTATTGACCTCGCTAAACAAACACCACGTCATTGTAACCACGCCCCCCGTCAAACACGATCTCAAAGCCAAAGGAGAAAAAAGAAAAATAGGTTGAGACTATGTAATTGGACACGAATTAAATCATTGTTTTTCGATACATCCTACGCAACTCAATTCACACACTTAATGAAGAAGTAAGACATTCAAGGAAAAATACATTAAAAACTAAATTAACTTATGTGTCGTTTTACTTAAGAAGAATACACAAAATACGTTCCCTATTTGCTGAAGTGGTATCGCCTAATAAACCATGTACCAGTGGCTAGGGTAGGAGGATAGCATTTCAGAGGCGACAGCGAAAAAGGAACTGAATGTTGTTGTAAACATAACATTAACCAGTTAGCTGTATCATAAAGACATTTAGTGTAAATAAAACAGTACATTTATTTGTGTTACCTTTGTATATTTAGTTTACGATGTCTACTCCGGCAAGAAGACGACTGATGAGAGATTTTAAGCGGTGAGTTAAATTTTTCACGGGTGGTGTTATTGATATGCCTGAAGCTAGCTAGTTAGCTAGGTAAGCTAGTCAGCTAAGGTTACTTGGCTAGCTAGCCAACGCTAGCAAGTCATCCAGTCGTCTATTTGATGATATTTGGGGTTTTATCTAGTTTAACAAATGTGTAATGTTGCCTTTGAAAATAGCGGATACTTTACATAACAGTATGCCGCTAAAGTCGACCCTAAAACATAAGCGATTTATTTCGTCAGCAAGCTAGCTTGCTTACAGCCAAGACTTGGCTAGCAAGCTACTTGGCTAGTTAGCTAAGAAAACAACTCGCTCTCTCCAGACCAAGGCGAGTCACAATAGTTAACTCGCAAGCGAAACTGGGTTAGATTAACTAGACGTCATAAGATTACTCAGGTTGGTTTTAATATTTCGAGGGATCTTTTTGCTACATCCTTTAACTTTATCAGATCAAGACATGCATAACGTTACGGTTTATGAATACGACTGACGTTTAACTAAACAACATTAATAGGGTTTCTGCATTGGTTGATAATATTGGAAGTACGCGTCTGAGTTCAGTAATGTGTCGATTTGTAATATAGCTATCAGTTTGAAAATAGGGTTAACAAGTCCTTAAATTAGGTAGCAAGTAATTTGAAACGTGGAACAGAAGTTGTTTTTCTCGGACCCCCATAGGCTACAAGAAGACCCTCCGGCTGGCGTCAGTGGTGCCCCTTCCGAAAACAACATCATGGTGTGGAATGCAGTCATATTCGGGTAAGATGAAGCACAATCGGTATAGCAACCGATCCGATGTGCACATTCAGACTGTGCTGTTCCCTATGTCACAGATGTTAAGTACATATTACTTTAACACCTAGCCAAAGATGTACTCGTTAAGGAGCCTAACGTTACCTTTACTCCTTAAGATCCAAAGACCTTGTGTTATTTTCAGAGGTGGACTGTCTATTGCAGACAAAACAGACAAATACTCAATTTAAACGTGAATCGATTAACAATTGCGATACGGTTCTAGAAACATAAAGCCCTTTACATTCATATCACACACAAATAATTACACAAATGCAAAATAATTGTAACCAGCTTTATCACAGTTGCAGCTGACAGTATTTTTCAGTGACAACACGTTTCTGGCGGCCTTCTTTCGTTACACACAGGTGTTCGGCGCATGCTAATTAGCACAAGTGGTCGTTCTGTCTTCAGTAAACACAGGCTGTAACATGGAGATATAAAGGTGTGTATCAATTGAAGTGTTTCTCGCCGATATGAAAGATAAGGTCCTTATGCTTCCAAAACCGTACCGCAAGTGATGCATGTTAATGTTCAGACCGAGTGTCCAGGGCTCTTAACAAAACTCCCCTGTACAGAAGACTCCTTCATCCAATGACACTTATGTGTAATGTCATGGAACTGAGTGAGAGTCATGATAAAGGGCTATGTAACACCATGCTCCATCAGCAAATATTGCTGAGTTTGGGTTCTGAAACAGCCTTTTGCTAGTTATTGATAATCCTGTGAGATACAGGTCATGTCAAGACCTTTTTAGGCCAATGATACCAACAAATGTCAAGTGATTGATCTGCTCATCGCAATGTTCTTTCTTCATCCATATAACTTATTTATGGGGAACTGACACATTCATATTTCACACACACAGAGAAAAACGTTAAACTTATTTATTTCCCTTTACAGCCCAGAAGGGACACCTTTTGAGGATGGTGAGTACAGCACTGTGCTACCCCATTCTTTGTGATTGCATACTGTGTGACATAATTGTTGATTTGATAAATTCCACATAAAGTAGACTAGAGCAGTCAATCATCAACTCCCTGTTTTATCAACCGGCGGTATTGCAGATAATGCAACACCTGTAAATGCGAACACGTTTTCTAACATTCTCGGTTGCGTGATAGTATGAGTGATATTAGCCATGGTTCTAATTCGTATTTTTCCCACATCTTTTATATGTTCCAGGCACATTTAAGCTTACTGTTGAGTTCACAGAAGAATACCCCAACAAACCCCCCACAGTGCGATTTGTGTCAAAGATGTTTCATCCAAATGGTATGTTGTCACAACGACAGTAGCAAAACATTCTGAAAATGGTTAGTATTGCCTGCAAAGGTTAATAGTATTTTTACACTTCCGTTTTATTTAGTGTATGCAGATGGGAGTATATGTCTGGACATTCTACAGAATCGATGGAGTCCAACCTATGATGTATCATCCATTCTTACCTCTATCCAGGTATGCAAATGGATCATGTTGTTTTTCCATAATACATTGTTTTATATGCCATTCATCCTCCTGTCAACATTTAGTCCTACTGGGACAGAGCTGAGATAAGTCACAACAGACCTTAGACTTCCCATACTGAACATCCTGAAGTGTCATGGTGCATATGCCCACTGCTGTCTGTCACACTCTCTGTGCTGTAGAATGCATGTCTAATCTACTCTGTTGGCCTATCCCCCCTCTCTCTTCCCTCCTTCCAGTCCCTGCTAGACGAACCAAACCCCAACAGTCCAGCCAACAGTCAGGCGGCCCAGCTTTACCAGGAAAACAAGAGGGAGTATGAGAAGCGTGTCTCGGCCATTGTAGAACAGAGCTGGAGGGACAGTTGACCACACCCTCTCCCTTCTGTCCTCCTCTGTCCCCAGCACTGAGCTGTGTGTGATTCGAGTTCTAGTGGAGTACATCCTAATTTAGTTTTTTGTTTTTTTCCTCCTTTTTAATTTGAAGCTTTTATGCACTTTACCTCGCCCTTCCCTTGTAGAACCCTTTTTTTTTTTTTCTCCCATTTTGGCCTATCAGGGGACGTATGTGCTGAATCTTGCCTTTGCCGCCACGCTCTTCAATTGAGGACCATTTTTGGACGTCAATTACCTTGCCTCATTCCCTCACTGAAACAAATGAGTTGGACTGATTTGTTTAATGTTTGGAAGAAATATAAATTATCATAACCTAGCTTGTAGGTTCTTTGTTTGGTGTGCTCCCCTTACTTTATCATAAGCTAATTTTACAACGCAGCATCTGAGCTATCAAGCTCATTACCTTTCTTTGGACAATTGCTGCCCGTGTTCATCCTAAACACCTTGATTGAGAACCAGACCCACATGCTTAACCCATGTCTTTGCTGTGAGCTCTGTTACATGCATGACAGTGAATTCATGTTGTTCTGTTCAGTACCCTCAGTGTGTATATAGGAAAACATCTGGATTTATGTACAGATTTTGCACTGGTTGTCCATGACATTTTTTCCCCTAGCACTTGTAAATAAAAAAAGGCAAAACTACCTTTACTATGACTGTAGTACTGTTTCTCTTGGACGCTGACAGTAAACCATGTGCTCCCTACAGTAATCATCAGTCTACTCTATATTTAGCTTTCTGTGGCAAATACTGTGATATCAGTGATCTCTTGCAATGCTAGCACAGAAACTAGCTTCAAAGTTCATGCATCTAATAGCCTCATTCAACACACTCAATATTCAAGCAAAACTTGTGGTTTATTGGCAAGGAACTCTTTACACAAATAAACCAATCACATAATTGCAGATGCGCATGGAGTGATGGTGTACACACGACACGTGAGGATTTGATGCTTTGCTATTTTTAACTGACAGAACAGACTCATTTGCAGAACCCCTTGGTAAGGGACCAAAGGATTTAATTCACACGGCAGGGCCTTTTAATAGTACTATTGGACAAGACACATTCAATGGGCTGCAGTTCCAAACAGCATTTAAATAATTCACCTTTACTGGTGTCACAAGTGACAGTCCTCACAGCTACAGATCACAGGCCCGTTGCCAAGGGGATTTGGCATCATGGACTCGAGTCAAACATGGGTATTACCAACTTAACCATCTTAACAGTCTGTCTACAATCTACAATGCATTTTGCTGCTAGGGCAGTCCTATCAGTAATGGCACTTCAAGCAAAGGGCAGTCATGTCTCATAGTACATACACAGGTGATGCAAAACAATTCAACCGAGGAAGCCCATTGCGTTCATAGATGTAGCTAAGCCCCACTGTGCAATACATGTCTGGAATTACTTTTAGCACGCAGTGTTTTATTTGTTAGTTTGGAGGAGGAGCAGTATGGCTACATGCATGATACAGCAGCATCAACAATAATCATTGGTGTGGCTATATGATACAATAATCTGTATTACATTATACTGTATCTGCTCTAAACCAGTGGTCGTGAACCAGGATGTCCATCTTCCAGTACAGCATTTACTAAAATAACAATAAGTCCCTCTTTCCAATTCTTCATTTTCAAACAGCATTGACAGTAATTGGAGTAGAAAGAACAATAACAAAAAACAAAACTAACATGACCACAAACGATGTCCACTGGCCCAGGTAGACAGCTACCTGTGGTAGGTCCTCTCCTTCTTCGCCCTCTCCAGGGCCTTGTCCATGGTCTTCTCATTCTCTCCCCTGCATTTGGGACAGAACCACTTGCCCTTGGGCTTGTGATGCAGCCCCACACAGGAGAAGTGGAACCACTCGATGGGACACTCGTCGTTATCACAGCCAATCATCTCGCCGTAGGACACCTGTTCACACAGGCAGTAGGTGGGCTCGTCTGGGTCGATGGGCAGGTCTGGGGGTGACACCTCCCTCTCGGACTTGCCCTTTGACCTCTTCTTCTTCTTGGACGACGACGTTTTGGCCCTCTTCTCCCTGGACGCCCCTATGCCCACCTCGTCACCATGATCCATGCTTCCATAGCTCTCCCGGTTCTCTCCGTTCTTCTGCCGCCGTGACCGTTTCCCACCAGACTTGTCCCCCCCGCCGACTGAGCAAGGCGTCACCTCGTCACGCCTCTTGTCGTGGTGACCCGCTTTGCCCGGAGTGGTTGTTGCTGCCGACGGCGACACTATGGAGGCTGCGGTCGTTGTCATGGCAGTTGATGTAGGTATATGGGTATCAGGGTTCTCCTTGGAGGCGTGGAGGAGCTCAGAATGCCAGTCCACCTGTCTGCTACGGTTCTCCACCAACTCCACCTGGAACAGTAGGACAGTACATAGTGTTATATACACTGCTCAAAAAAATTAAGGGAACACTAAAATAACACATCCTAGATCTGAATGAATGAAATAATCTTATTAAACACTTTTTTCTTTACATAGTTGAATGTGCTGACAACAAAATCACACAAAAATGATCAATGGAAATCAAATTTATCAACCCATGGAGGTCTGGATTTGGAGTCACCCTCAAAATTAAAGTGGAAAACCACACTACAGGCTGATCCAACTTTGATGTAATATCCTTAAAACAAGTCAAAATGAGGCTCAGTAGTGTGTGTGGCCTCCACGTGCCTGTATGACCTCCCTACAACGCCTGGGCATGCTCCTGATGAGGTGGCGGATGGTCTCCTGAGGGATCTCCTCCCAGACCTGGACTAAAGCATCCGCCAACTCCTGGACAGTCTGTGGTGCAACGTGGCGTTGGTGGATGGAGCGAGACATGATGTCCCAGATGTGCTCGATGGGATTCAGGTCTGGGGAACGGGCGGGCCAGTCCATAGCATCAATGCCTTCCTCTTGCAGGAACTGCTGACACACTCCAGCCACATGAGGTCTAGCATTGTCTTGCATTAGGAGGAACCCAGGGCCAACCGCACCAGCATATGGTCTCACAAGGGGTCTGAGGATCTCATCTCGGTACCTAATGGCAGTCAGGCTACCTCTGGCGAGCACATGGAAGGCTGTGCGGCCCCCCAAAGAAATGCCACCCCACACCATGACTGACCCACCGCCAAACCGGTCATGCTGGAGGATGTTGCAGGCAGCAGAACGTTCTCCACGGCGTCTCCAGACTCTGTCATGTCTGTCACATGTGCTCAGTGTGAACCTGCTTTCATCTGTGAAGAGCACAGGGCGCCAGTGGCGAATTTGCCAATCTTGGTGTTCTCTGGCAAATGCCAAACGTCCTGCACGGTGTTGGGCTGTAAGCACAACCCCCACCTGTGGACGTCGGGCCCTCATACCACCCTCATGGAGTCTGTTTCTGACCGTTTGAGCAGACACATGCACATTTGTGGCCTGCTGGAGGTCATTTTGCAGGGCTCTGGCAGTGCTCCTCCTGCTCCTCCTTGCACAATGGTGGAGGTAGCAGTCCTGCTGCTGGGTTGTTGCCCTCCTACGGCCTCCTCCACGTCTCCTGATGTACTGGCCTGTCTCCTGGTAGCGCCTCCATGCTCTGGACACTACGCTGACAGACACAGCAAACCTTCTTGCCACAGCTCGCATTGATGTGCCATCCTGGATGAGCTGCACTACCTGAGCCACTTGTGTGGTTTGTAGACTCTGTCTCATGCTACCACTAGAGTGAAAGCACCGCCAGCATTCAAAAGTGACCAAAACATCAGCCAGGAAGCATAGGAACTGAGAAGTGGTCTGTGGTCACCACCTGCAGAACCACTTCTTTATTGGGGGTGTCTTGCTAATTGCCTATAATTTCCACCTGTTGTCTATTCCATTTGCACAACAGCATGTGAAATGTATTGTCAATCAGTGTTGCTTCCTAAGTGGACAGTTTGATTTCACAGAAGTGTGATTGACTTGGAGTTACATTGTGTTGTTTAAGTGTTCCCTTAATTTTTTTGAGCAGTATATATATATATATATATATATATATATATGCACATACACAAGTTGGTCAAGAAGAGTGACCAATATGGGCTTTGTTGCAGCCTCATCTATATATCTATCATATGTAAAAATGTATGCACGCATGACTGTAAGTCGCTTTGGATAAAAGCGTCTGCTAAATGGCATATTATTATTATTATTATTATTATCTATATTATTGTTTTTCAAGCTGGAAAATCATTATGCAAAGTTCACATAAAAGGGAAGACACTTTTTCTTCCATAAACAATCATACAGGCAACCAGCCACGTTCACGCACCATCTGCCCAGCAATCTGGATCTTCTCATCTCCCAGCTCCTGGCTGCTGATAAGCACTCTCTGGATGGCCAGCTGAAGTCTACACCGCTGGAGAGGGTCGGACTCCAGACGGTAGCGCTCATAAGCATCATCCAGCTCTTGCAGGACATCTGAGGCAGGGGAAAAAACAAAGGATGCAAGAGATGTAACAAAGATGGCCAATAGATAGCATAAAGTGGATGGAGTGGCAGTTTTATTATGGAACTAAACACAAACGTGTATTACTCTAGTTAGCTAAATACATAACTTGAAACAAATATTGTTGTAATTTTTTACATTCAATTGGAATAAAAGTTGTCTACTATTCTAACTTAATCAAAAGATGCTAGCTTGTATATCTGGATGCCTGTAGGCAGCTACTGCTAGAAACTAGCAGTGTAACTTCTGATAGCTAGGCTAACAGACTAGTAGCAATTTTGTAAACTAGCTAGCTACATTATTTACCTAGCAGGTAGTTAGCTGGTCAGTGGATGAAACGTGAACGATTTACCTTGATATTTAGCATCAATTTCCTTCATAAGCGACACACTCCTCTGTAGGTCGAAAGGCAGTGATTCGACCAAGTCCAAATATTCTTCCACATAATTTGTAACGACGTGGACCGGGTCGCCGTTAGCCGGATTTAGCATTTTCCTCTGTCAAAATCCACACAAAGCTGCCACAACAAAAAAATAGATACAAAATAGATTATTTGTTACACAGAACAACTTCTTCTATAATATTATGGCACACAGAACATCCCAAACTCATTATCCTGAAAATACAGTACACGTTGAACGAATATGTAAATACATCTATATTGCAATCTCTGACGGTTGAGCGGACTTCTTCCCTTACTGTTAGCTAGCTCCGCTATCTAACGTTTAGCGGGAGGAAGCTAGGCTAACAGCCTAGCTCTTTGAGTCTACTGTGTTAGCGAACCAGCTAACGTTAACTAGCTAGCAGTAACGTTGCAGCCTTCACACTAATTACGGTCTGAACACGATAATGAAGTTATGCAAACGACCAATTTTTACTCACCAGAAACGTTACATTTGCCGTTTACTGAAGCTCATACAATGTATTCAATCCAACTGGAGAATGTTGTAACTGTGCATTGCTTGCAGCGTGAAAAACCGTAAACTTGAGAATACTTTGCGCATGCGCATCGTATGTGAAACAACCTTCACATTGGTCGATTTTCTTTTACAGTGAAAATACTTTTTCGGCAACGACGTTTTAATCTGTTTTTAATGTCTATTGTTTTAATGCATTTAGTTTACAAGGATGCAGATCTTGTGAAAATGGTCAATGCCTGACATGCTTATTATCCAGGCTCTGTCGTAGCCGGCCGCGACCAGGAGACCCATGGGGCGGCGCACAATTGGCCCAGCGTCGTCCAGGGTAGGGGAGGGAATGGCCGGCAGGGATGTAGCTCAGTTGGTAGAGCATGGTGTGTACAACGCCAGGGTTGTGGGTTCGTTTCCCACGGGGGGCCAGTATGAAAAGTAAAAAAATAATGTATGCACTCACTAACTGTAAGTCGCTCTGGATAAGACCGTCTGCTAAATGACTAAAATGTAATGTAAATGTAAATGCTTGATGTTACAATTTAGCTAGATACAGATCCACATTTTTGCACTGACGTTATGAAGGCGATAACCCGCCATATCGGAAATATAATGCATGCGCCCTCTTGTGGCAGTATTGTAAATTATTTAAAATGTAAACAAAGTTCCTCTCCATCACAGACATTTCGCACTGTTTGAGCAGACAGTTATCATTGATACATTGGATAATCTAACTCTGTGCAACACTGTGAGGGAGGTAGAAGACAGAATAAGCGACAGATGAGTAAAAGACAGAACAAAGAAGTGAAAACTCCATCAACATTTTAATATTTCCAATGTAAAGGGTGTTTATGACAAAAACAGGAGACCACACAGGTGCCACACTGTCACTGTGAGATTCTATTCTGGATGACAGTAAAGATGGGAATGTCATGATGGAATAGGATGAACTGTCTGGAAGGAAATCACAGAGAATTAAATGCTGTAAATCATCAGGTATTGTTAAATATGCTACACAGTATGTGCACTGTTAGAAGTCTGACACTTGGGTAGTCTAATAATATTGATGTATAATAATCTTAGCTCAGCCTTGTGTGCCACTTTAATTCTGATGTTCTGGCTGTCAACATTTTAAAAAGCCAACGAGGCACTTTGAGAAAATAAAACAGACTCCAATGCAGAGGGAATATTGCGTTGTCATTTTTTTGTTTCAATGGGTCCAGTGTGAGAGAGAAAACGTAGGCAAAATTTATCCATTTAAAAATCATTACGTCTATAGCTTATTTAGCACCAATAGACTAGAAGTGGTTTCATATGTTGGAGCCCTATTTCTTGTATTATTTCTTGTTGATTAAAAAAAGTATTAGGTCGGGATTCAATACGACCCACACGTTGTCGAACAATGGGCTTTTTAAGGCAATGTTACTGCGTTCGCGGAAATTGCATTCGTGGTAAAAAAAAATATAACTGCAGATGTCGGCTCATTGGAAATTACGGATTGAATCCCGGCCATAGCTTTTCTGTATGGAGGTACAGACTAGCTACAGCTAAAATATCTGAAAATGGTTGACAACATCTTTGATAGTTGGTCTCTTTGGCCCAATGTCAATGATTATAGAGAATGGATTCTCAGGATTCCCATGGAAGAACGTGCTGTTATGTCTATGTACAGTATGTATGCATGTATGTAAGTACAGTACATATGTGAGTATCTTGGACCCCTGTAGAACGTTCTCAGCTCTCAAATAGTTTTTTGAAGGCGGAGCTGATCTCCTGGATCATGTCTGTGGTGGTGGTGGCTCGCCCATGTTTGTGGAAGGCCTGTCTGTTACACTGTCTGGTCAGAGAACAGGCCCCGAACGCTGCCACCACTGACGGGTTCACACTGAGGCAGAGATTGGAGAACACATCACAGTTACAGCAATGACAAATGCACAGTAAAATTAGGCCAACTAAGTAACATAGGCAGCCCCTTCAAATGTTATCGTAGAACTATATTAATTTTGGTCATGTCAGTGCGTAAGCACACAATGTTGACGAATATGGTACCTTTTGGTCATGTCTGCTGAGGAAGCATATGCCCAGTGTGCCAGCACTCCCAGAGAGCCAGATAGGACATCTCCTTGTCCCCCACACCTACGCCCACTGCCCTCCTGTCTACACAACATCACTGGACACCACAGAGACACAGGACACAGTCAGAGCTTTACAGGAATATGTATGAATGTAGCACTTAGTCTGAGTGTAGCTGTGCGTGACAGACACTAACCCTTGTTGCCGTCGGTAATAAGGTCTTCCTCCCCCTTGAGCACCACAGTCAGGTTGCCCATGGCAACACTGAGCTCCATGGCACTCCTCTGATGATCACTGCTATCAAGAGGCTCATGGTGCTGAAAACACAGACAGACAGTAGGATCATTGATAAACACACACACACACAGAGCTGAACTGGCAGACTCACCATAGCCTCATACAACCGGGTGAATTCCATGTAGTTAGGAGTGAGGATGCCCTTCTGGTACCCTTGGATGACTGATGGTTGCTGAGCAACCAGCCACAGTCCATCCTATTGGTGGAACACACAAAAATCACTGCACATCTGTGTAAAATAATCTAAATCTATTAACAAAGTGAAAATCTGTTTTGTGTACAGTACTTACTGCATCAATAACTATAGGGATATCTCTTGCTTTGGACTTCTCAATTACTTCCTAAAGAAAAAAAGAGCCATGAGAACATTGGTAATATAATGTCATCTGTCAACTAAAATTGACAGTGTGTGTGTGTGTGTGTATTCAGTGTCCCACGTGCCTTGGCGTTTTTCAGCAGTATTTCGTCTCTGCCTAGCCCTGGGCCCACCACCAGGCAGTGGAGTCTGGGAAGCCATTTCTCTATCTCCTCCACCGCATTGGGGCTGTCCCTATAGAAAACATTAACACTGTTATCATCAACAAAGACATGCATTATATGGACACTGCTTACAAACAGGCTTCCATTCAAATCAAATCAAACTTTATTTGTCACATGCGCCGAATACAACAGGTGTAGACCTTACTGTAAAATGCCCTTAACCAACAATTCAGTTCAAGAAAGAGTTAATAAAATATTTACTAAATAAACTAAAGTTTAAAATAAAATAAAAAGTAATACAATAAAATAACAATAACGAGGCTATATACAGGGGGTACCGGTACCGAGTCAATGTGCGGAGGTACAGGTTAGTCGAGGTAATTTGTACATGTAGGTAGGGGTAAAGTGACTATGCAAAACAGAACTTACAGCACAGGATGAACTATGAGCTCCGGACTGTAGGATTTGATCACTGTCGCTGCATCTTTAGTGCAGAATACGTGTGACAGGTCAGCCCCCTAGGAAGTGATACAGCAGAGGTTTTGTCATCATATCAATGTCTCCACCAGAGTAAAAAAATGACACAGGACCAAGAAAGCTACTGTGCGCTTACCACTTTCAATGCAGAGATAGCAGCAAAGTACGGAGCTCCTGTATACCTTCCCATGACAAGAACAATAAGCAGAAAGAAGGAAGGAACAAAAGGACACAAATAAGAGGAGGAACATTTTAGAATATCTTTGGTACCTCCAGAAAACCTTCATTTAGAAATCAGAGTTAAAAGGTGGGGTTGGGTCACTAGGGTGGCTTACTCTTGACATCCCCCAATAATCCCAATCCGCCCATCTTGGCCTTTGTGCTTTTTAGACGTCAGCGGAGGGACTATATTCTTCACCAGCGGAAGGATATCATCCATTCCTCGGTGTGCTGCTGTCCCAAGGGAGAAGGAGCGCTCGAGGACTGAAAAAGAAGAGAGAGAGAAGTATTCAGAGTTTTCTACTTAAAATTTGTCGCTTCCCTGCGCTAACTGCTTGTGTGTTGGGTGTGCATTTAGTTCAGCCTAGATGTCTTTGTGGGTCTGTTTCAGCCTTATTCAGTACTGTTTGACCTGCTTGTTGACAGGCAGTCTCACCAGAGCTGGCCATTGCTCAAACACAGGCCAACTGAGTGAGAGAAGCTAATACCTAAACCTGCGTTGGACTGTGGCTGACTGAGGTAGCTGGACCACTCAGCCTGGGACTGTGGCTGACTGTAGTAGCTTGCCCACTTAGCCTGGGACAGGGGCGAGCGGACTCGGAGGTGATTCGACCGAACACGCCTCATTTGGCTGGAGGCGGACATGGGCACACCGGGCTGCATGGTATTTTGAGCAGGCGGCATTGCTGTGGTTGTGGTAGCTGTGGCGACAGGGTTCCTGGTGGCGATGCTGGAGAACATCTGTCCCAACACCTGGAGCATGTGGAGCTCGCGGGCATGTTCGGCTTCTCGCCGGCGGTCCTCTGCCTGCAAACGCTGCTCCTCCATCTGGTAGAAGCTCTGCTCGGCCTCGGCACTCTGCTCCAGGAACCGCTCCATCACACTGTCCAGGGGCAGGTCGGCGTGCCGCTTCTTGGGCCGCTTGGAGGACGGCCCACCAGCTGATTGACTGCTGATCTGTCTGACTGTGGTGCCTGTGGAGGAGAGTGGATGGAGGTTTTGAGAGCTGCCACTGTGGAAGTATCGGCATACTATATAAGGTTGATTTTGCAAATACGGGCACTTTTGGATGTTAAATGTTTTCGAAAATGAAACCTCTTGAAACTGCTTTTTATCTATCTGCATATTTTCTTCACTCTGGAAGCAAGATCTAATAGTGGCTGAGACCATAATAATTAAGAATATAAAGATTTTTATCCGTTTCCCCAAATACCCGTGGGGAAATGTCATTACCACCACGTCATAAAATTGTCTATTTTAGTTGAAAAGGAAATTACGGTATTTTATATACACCATTTCACATTATCTTTTTTTAAATCATGTTTTTTTTTACTATTTGGAACTTTTCTTAATTATATGTATTCATCATGGTCATGTCTAAATGGCCATATATGCCTTGAATGATACTCAGAAACATGTATTTACCACATCAACATCTTAAAATGTTACATTATTTTAGGAATTATCTTAAGAACAAGCATATAAGGTTCACATATGGAAAAAAATAATCAATATCAATTGTAATTTAATACACATTTTCCTCAAAAATATGTACCGTGATGGTAATTACTTCACGTTGTGGTAATGACAGAGTGTGGTGGAAATGTCATTTCATATAAAACAACTGAGGAAAAATACCATTAAACATTTTAACGTCACAGTTGTACAGGTTTAATTTTATTGAAGGTATAGAACACACCATTCAAAATCTCAAAAAACAAAGGTTACATGCCTCAAGAACATAAAGCATATTTTAGAACAATTGTGGAATTCAATGCATTAGGCAGAAATACATGTACAAGGTTGGAAACACTGGTTGACATTAAACAAATTATTGTTAACTGGCTGCAGTCTATTGATTCAGACTCATGAGACAGGTATGTGCTCACTCAAGATTAGGTTTTGCACTTAATGCTCTCTATTGCTTAATGAGAGAGCAAATTTCCTCCCAGACTGCGCCATCAAGCATCATATGCCGTTTTGTCACTGGGTGAGACTCAGGGACAAGCCCAAGCACATTCTCTGGTTGGTACCATACAATGTCCTCTCTCGTTGGCCAAAATAAATCGGTTGTCTCTCACACGACTCATCGTCTTGACTAGAGCGCAGCTCTCTACATCAACATCTTGTATAATACCAGGGTAAGGGTCTTCATCATATTTCACAACACACCACTTTCCAATCAGTCCCTCATGTATGTCTGCAATGGGCAGTGTTGCACTAGGAGACGGAAAGTGTTAACAGAATGAAAAGAAAGTGATTTGAAAATCTACAATTTGATCTACATTTTGTCGTTACAAAGCTATAGTTTTACATAATAAATATTAGCTGGTGTATTTTCATTATTCCACCGATCGTCTAAATACAATCTGGCAGCAGGAGATCCCTTTTCTCAATCTCTTGCTCTGTGACGTAAAAGAGCTTCACATTTGACTGCTCTTTTGAAAGTTCCTCATAGAACACTTTTACGTTCTGAAGGTCCTTTCCTTTTGCCACCACGGAATCAGCTTCGCTCTTCACAGCTGCACCGATTCCATCCGCAGGACCTTTGCCATGTCCAGCCTCCCAAAAATTCCAGGTGATCTTCTGAAACCCCAGTTGAAATGGAATTGTGCTCAAGTAGAAGAACTTCTTCCTGGATCTGTACTGTGTGGTTGGTCCATCACTTACAACATGGAGGACAGTGGCAGATGGATTCAACTCATGGAGGTGGGAGAGAACTTTGGAGAGATGTGCCCAAATTGCAGAGGGGTCATGATGCATTGATGAGCTGACTGAGCACACAACACCTTATTTAGTGTATACAACCCCAGTGTGAAGTGTTGTCTGCTGGTGAGTCACCAAAATGCACCGCCTGTATTTCAGAGGCATACTTGCATAGGTAGTTCTCGGTGAAATCCACATGGAGGATTAACTCATCTTCTCTAATATTTTCTCAGACCTCTTAAATGTGGAGTACGATGTCTGATATGGAAGACATGTTTCCCCAGTTTGTTCTTCAAATTGGAAGTGAAGTCTTCCAGTAGAGTTAAGGGTACCGTACACCTTCTCCTTTACAGTCAAATTGACAGTAAACCTCTCTCTCTCTCATGAACTGAAGGTTGGCACGTCTTACACTGGCATGTCTCCCTGTCTTTCACTGATGGATTGACAATCCAAAAGGGACGTATTTTGGTGAACTCTGTATGGCAGCTTGACCTCTAGTAATTATCTTGAACTTCTGATGGAGTTTTGCCAGTGTGTCGTTAAGGTATCGCTTCTGCATTTTATTGTTGTGTCTTGTCAATGTTTCCCTTTTTTCTGTTGATGCTCGACTGTTATCATCACGTTCAAATAACCTTTTTATTTCATCTATTGCTGGGCTGATTGCATTTGAATGTTTCTTTGAGTACTGCAGACAGGTTGGCTGTTCGTTGTTTGCCCCCATTGTCTTCGCAGAGAATCCAAATTCTCTTTGTGCCATTTTTACCATGCAATGCTTTTTCAGTATTTTCCCAGCCAAAACATTGAATATCACTTATTGGTCTTTCGCACTCTGTTGCTTCTGGTATTTCTCTCGCAGCTCTGAGATTATGGTGTTATGGAACAGAAGTATTCTTAACAGATTCTGTGGCTTTGACCGCATTTGTTGTTTTGTTTTTGTTCTGGGGGAAATCCAAAATCCCGATCTTCTCTGATAATCCATCATATTTTTATTTTTTTTACTTTCTCAGTTCTCTTTCCGCAGCCTCCAACTTCATATTGGCTATACATAGATCCCTGAAGACCTTGGATCTGTTTTTTTTTTTTTTTCACCTTTCTACGGCCTCTCTGTCTTGGGGTTTCCGAGTTTGAACAGGAGGGGGAATCCGGTGCCATTTGAGGGGCAGGTATGTCATCATTCTGTAGGTGAGTGTGGTGGTGTGTTCCTTGACAGGTTTGACTCCATAACCAGTCTTTTCTGGATAGTTGATCTTCCTTTTATTTTCCATTGCCTCCTTTTTCCCCCTTGTTTCTCACTGGGGAAGTTGTGAGATGGGTTTCAGTTCACCACTTTCTTTTCTCTTGAGGTATTTTTTTGTTTCTTAAGATACTCCTGGTATCTTATAGGATCTTGTTAATATATGTTAGTAGAAATTGATTAACTAATACATTTTGTCATTACCACCACAGTTCATTATGTGGTGGTAATGACGTGTGGTGGGAATTACATGTTTACAGTATTTGGTCATAAATAGCAGGGATTCTAGCATGCTAACCTCAGTTGAACAGCTAGCATACAATGTATCCTAAATACACATAATTAAATCATTATTTTATGAAATTATAGCCTATTTGGTAATGATGTACAATATCTCAAATCATATTTACCTTTATTTTTTCTATCATTTCCTGGCATCAAAATCTGAATCTCCCTCCATGAGCTCCACTGTCACTATACATATCCATATCCATGGTAACCAAGTACACTAACTTTTGAAAAAACTTTATCATGTAATTTGCTTGGCATGGTGGTAATGACACAATACTTAGAGACTACTGTATTTACTGTTTTTTTTTTAAGTAACAAATGGCTTATGCACATCTAATATGTATATAGTTTCCATTTGACTCTTTTTTTAAACAGGTGCATTAAATAATTATCAAGACTTTTGTAAGTGTAATACATATCAGAATGTCAAAAGTCGGTGTGAGACAGGACAAAAACCGTGCAAAACAGTGAACTCCAGACATGAAATGCTTTAGAAAATAAAATAAACATTGAAAGCTGAAAAAATAAGTTACGGTTATTTTAGTCTCTACTTAATGGATGTGAAATAAAAAAATAATCTAAATAACATTGTATCTTAAAATGTTAACCCTGTGACACAAAAAGGCCTATATTTGCAAAATCACCCATATAATAACAATGTAATGACATAATAAATGGTACTTACTATTTCCCACTGTCACAGGGATGGGGATGGGAGGGTATTCTAGCTTCACTTGGGTCTCTGGGTAGGAGCATTCCCCTGTGCTCTCCAAGTATGGGTCCTGTGGAGGGTCTGTGTCCACTTCCTCCTCTGTCTCATCCCCCACGGCCCCACTGTCTAACAACTCCTGGGGGTCAATCTGGGGACGGCTGCTTAGTATCCTCTCCATGGCATCGTAGAATTTGCAGATCTTGTGGTATTGTCCATTGTTCCTCAGGTTGCCCTCCTTGGCCAGGATAAACTGCCTTTTCAGGCTTTTGATTCGCACCCTACACTGCTCCGGGGTTCTTTCGAACCCCATCACTCCCAATCTTCGGGCGACGTCGCGGTAGACATGACTGTTTCGGAAGTTTCCGTCCAACGCCGTCTGGATGTCCTGCTCCCCCCAGATATTCAGCAAGGTTCTGGTTTCGACATCCGACCACAGAAAGCCCCGTGTTGAATTGGCGAGCATAATTATCAGGTGCGAGTACAACTGATACGTAATTTATATTTTAAAGCATGCAGTACAGTCAGAACACCAAGAAATGTTAGCAAGTCAGCTGGTGAACAAGACTAGCTAGCTAGCAGCAGGAACCTGTATCAAACCTCGATATTCAGAGCCTGATTAAGAAAGGCTATAACGACCAGGTAACATTTTACCTGGACATAGATGGCGCACATTCAGCAGCCAGATGTGTTTCAGACAATGCACTTTCGTACAATGGAGATTAGTGTAGCCTACAGTCTGCAAAGCTGATTATGGGCCCCCACCATACACTCGAGTACCACAACACAAACGGTCCTTGATATCCGGGATCCTTTGGACGTCCCTACCCCTCCATTGAAGTTGAAATGTAAAATGGTTAAGGTTAGGTAAGGGTTAGGGTTTAAGGTAGGGACGTCCCAATGATCCCGGATAGCACTCACACAAACGTCAAGGACAGAATGTGTACTACATCACAGGGATTAGCTCGCGGAGCTCCGATGGGTCCTAAAGGAAATAGATTGCTTCAGGGATTGTGGTGTATAAAAAGTGACAGCGACGTGAAAAAAAAGTAGTACAGTATTTGTTGTTTCCACTTTACCTTCATCGTTCATATAGGTTACAGCAATCGTCAGTACAACAGTACTGAGGCAAAAGACAACCAAACATCCAAGTTCCATGTTTGCATGATTCTGTCATACTCTTGCGAGCCTATTGCATTTACATTTGCATAATTTAGCAGACCTATTAGAGGCCCGAGGTAAACAGTGTTATGGCAGGTGGCACACACACTGGCAGTTCTTACTTAGACACGAACTTTGAGTTACTGCTGAAAATAGGACAGACTGACAGTTCTTACCTAGACGAGAACTTTGAGTTACTGCTGAAATAGGATAGATAGACGCTTCACTGGGATCATGAGGCGCTAAAAGATCCAAACAAAAACAGGAAGTGTTTTGAGAGGAGCATAGAGCTAGATAGAGGACTTATCTTTATATCTGTGCCAGTATAGGGCTGTGACAGCATGGGTAGCGCCATTGAGGCAATCTCCATTTTGAAGTAGTCAATTTTCTTCTTCACGATTGGTTGATCCCTCCTGATGACCCAGTTGAACATGATAACTCCAACAAGGTTATCAGGAGGGATCAGCCAATAAAGTTGGAAGTCCCACCCATTTGACTACATTAAAATGGTGGAAGCCCTCAATGGCACTGTCCATGCTAAAATGGCCTGAAGGCCACTAGAGGCCTCCAGAGCTATATATATAGCTCTGGTGGCCTCTATCATTTTCTATGGAGAGGAGATATGACACTGGAATCTGATTGGTTAAAGGGCCAATCAGCAGTTGAAACAGCGGGCGGATTAGACCGGTCTAAGGCCCGTGACATGAATGGGCAAAAGCGTTGAGGGAGGAGCACCCTTCTCAAATCGAACAGTAATCTGCTCAACTCAGTCATATTGTCAACAAGGCAGCACAGTGCATCGTCCAGAAAATCTATTTTCCATTAAATCTGTTTGAATTTTCCAACAATACTGATCAAAAATATAAAACGCAACATGTAAAGTGTTGGTCCCATGTTTCATGAGCTGAAATAAAAGATTCCAGAAATGATCCATACGCACAAAAATATTTCTCAAATTTTGTGCACAAATTTGTTTACATCCCTGTTAGTGAGCATTTCGCCTTTGTCAAGATAATCCATCCACCTGACAGGTGTGGCATATCAAGAAACTGATTAAACAGCATGATCATTACACAGGTGCACCTTGTGCTGGGGACAATAAAAGGACACTAAAATCAGTGGTGGAAAAAGTACCCAATTGTCATACTTGAGTAAAAGTAAAGATACCTTAATAGAAAACGACTCAAGTAAAAGTGAACGTCACCAAGTAAAATACTACTTGAGTAGAAGTCTAAAAGTATTTGGTTTTAAATATACTTAAGTATCAAAAGTCAAAGTAAAAGTATACATCATTTCAAATTCCTTATATTAAGCAAACCAGATGGCACCATTTTCTTGTTTTTTAATTTATGGATAGCCAGGGGCACACCCCAATACATAATTTACAAACTAAGCATGTGTGTTTGGTGAGTAGGCCAGATCAGAGGAAGTAGGAATGACCAGGGATGTTCTCTTGATAAGTGCGTGTATTGGAAAATGTTCCTGTCCTGCTAAGCATTCAAAATGTAATGAATACTTTTGGGTGTCAGGGAAAATGTATAGAGTAAAAAGTACATTATTTTCTTTAGGAATGTAGTGAAGTAAAAGTTTTCAAAAATATAAATAGTAAAGTAAAGATACCAAATAACTAGTTAAGTAGAAAATGTATGCACTCACTAACTGTAAGTCGCTCTGGATAAGAGCGTCTGCTAAATGTAAGTGTAAAATGTACTTTACACCACTGTCTAAAATGGACAGTTGTCACAACACAATGCCACAGATGTCTCTAGTTTTGAGGGAGCGTGCAATAGGCATGCTGACTGCAGGAATGTCCACCAGAGCTGTTGCCAGATAAATGAATGTTCATTTCTCTACATCGTTTTAGAGAATTTGGCAGCAGGTCCAACCTGCCTCACAACCGCAGACCACGTGTAACCGCGCCAGCCCAGGACCCCCACATCCGGCTTCTTCACCTGCAGGATCGTCTGAGACCAGCCACCTGGACAGCTAATGAAACTGGGGGTTTGCACAACCGAAGAATTTCTGCACAAACCTTCTCGGGGAAGCTCATCTGTGTGCTCGTCGTCCTCACCGGGGTCTTGACCTGACTTCAGTTGCATAAGCAACGGACAACGAACACAATTGCATTTTATCGATGGCAATTTGAATGCACAGAGATAGCGTGACGTTCCTGAGGCCCATTGTCGTGCCATTAAAAAAAAAAAAAAAAGGTATCTGTGACCAACAGATGCGTATCTGTATTCCCAGTCATGTGAAATCGATAGATTAGTGCCTCATTTATTTATTTCAATTGACTTGTTTCCTTATATGAACTGTAACTCAGTAACATCTTTGAAATTGTTGCATGTTTGGTTATTTTTTTGTTCAGTGTGGTTTTCATTGGGAAGGCAGATAAATAAAATAAAAAAAGCTATCACTTTTGCAAGCAAAAACGCCGAATCCTACTCATTACTCCACGTGCTTAATTATCTCACTTTTGTTTTGAGGCAACTTCGACCTGGGCTTTGAACAGGGCACCTGGCTCACGTCTGGGAGGCAGCCCGGTTCTAAAACAAACTTTCACCCGATGCAAAACAGGCCTACCTGGGACAGATTAATTAAATTATTCTCGCTCAGGCGCCCGTGTACTTGTGTTTTGCACCGCTGAAAATTGATTGCGTTCGGGGTGACGTAATTAAGCACATGTAGTAATTAAGATTCTGTGTAAAAACGCTTTATCTGCCTTCCCAATGAAAACTAGTTAGAAAATTCAAACATTTATTTTATGGAAAAGTTATGCATTTTTCTGGACGATGCACCATGCTGCCTTGTTTGATTTGAGAAGTGCGCGCCTCCTTCCCCACTTTCGCCCACGATGTGAGGGGCCTTTGCCCAGTTCAACCCGGGCCAGCGTAAAATAACTCCCTCAGTGGTCAAGTTCGTTTTGCATAGCCAGGTGCCCCGGGTAGGCGGAGTTTATATGTTAGACCATTCCATTGGTCCTTAAGTGAAATCGCCACCCACCCTGGGCACCGTTCCATGCAAAACAAACTCCACCAATAACAAAGCTTTTTCCCAGCCACTGTTTCAGTAAAATAATGGGGCTGGAGAAATGTAATCATTCAAATTTATAGACAAAGCTATGGATGCAAGGACTGCACAGGAGGCTGTGTATGCACTCACTAACTGTAAATCGCTCTGGATTAGAGCGTCTGCTAAATGACTAAATTGTAAAATGAGGCTGCTGAGGGGAGGACGGCTCATAATAATGGCCATAACGGAGCAAATGGAATGGCATCAACACATCAAATCAAATTTTATTGGTCACATGCGCCGAATACAACGGGTGCAGACATTACAGTGAAATGCTTACTTACAGCCCTTAACCAACAGTGCATTTATTTTTAACAAAGAAAGTAAAAATAAAACAACAACAAAAAAAGTGTTGAGAAAAAAAGAGCAGAAGTAAAATAAAATAACAGTAGGGAGGCTATATATACACAGGGGGGTACCGGTGCAGAGTCACAAACCATGTTGTGTTTCATACCATTACACTTATTCTGCTCCAGCCATTACCAAGAGCCCGTCCTCCCCAATGAAGGTGCCAATAACCTCCTGTGAAGGACTGACCATCCATGATATCAAAATTAAAGTTTTAACCATGTTGAGGCAATACAGTGTTTGTATACATTTACTTTGTTTCCAACCATTGGACTAAAACATGCTTATATTTTGGCTTCTGAAGGGGTTCGGCGTTAAACTAAGCTCATGAGGCATTTATAAGTTAGATTCTTAAAGAATCAATCAAATGTATTTATAAAACCCTTTTTACATCAGCAGATGACACAAAGTGCTTATACAGAACCCAGCCTAAAATCCCACAGAGCAAGCAATGCAGATGTAGAAGCACGGTGGCTAGAAAAAACTCCCTAGACAGGCCGGAACCTAGGAAGCAACCAGGCTCTGACGGTGGCCAGTCCTTTTCTGGCTGTGCCTGGTGGAGATTTATAAGAGTACATGGCCATTAAGGCCAGATCGTTCTTCAAGATGTTCAAACGTTCATAGATGACCAGCAGGGTCAAATAATAATCACAGTGGTTGTAGAGGGGGCAACAGGTCAGCACCTCAGAAGTAAATGTCAGTTGGCTTTTCATAGCTTAGCATTCATAGGTCGAGACAGCAGGTGCGGTAGAGAGAGAGAGAGGGTCGAAACAGCAGGTCTGGGACATGGTAGCACGTCCGGTGAACAGGTCAGGGTTCCATAGCCACAAGCAGAACAACAGAAACTGGATCAGCAGCACGACCAGGTGGACTGGGGATGGGGAC